TGATGATGATGATGATGATGATGATGATGATGATGATGATGATGATGATGATGGATTATTTACGATCTGCTGATTTATCTGTATATTTACCGTACATCTTCTTTTTGTACAACATATTATGCCACCATATCAAGTTTCAGTACCGTTTGTGTCTTTCACAGGTGATCTTCACCAAGTCGGACAATATGCAGGCGTGCTACCTGAACGAACGCTTCGTGATTGAGATCATGTTCATCCTGAGAATCATCCGGATGTTCCGCATTTTCCACCTGGTGAAGCATTACCAAGCCCTCAAGGTGTGCCATGTACATGAGGTTTTAGTGGTAGCCAGGAGGTTATACAGTAAGGGCATGCAGTTGCGAGCGCCGTAAAACCTCTACTAAAACATACATATAGTAAGGTCCTTGAGTGGTAGGTAAGAGGGGGCGGGGGTGGGGCTTAGGAACGACTGGAACTCGGTTGTATTGTTGTTGCTGTAGCGTTGTGTTGTTTTTCGTCGATTTTTTTGGTTGTGATTGTCGTCATTATCGTCTCGTCGTTGTCACTATCATTATCATCGTCATCATCAACATCATCATCATCTATCACCGTCGTCACCCGATGATCATCAACAACATCATTATCATCATCATCATCATCATCATCATCATCATCATCATCATTAGATTCTTCTTGCTTTGTCTTACTCCTTCTCTTCGTTTTCGTCATAGTTGTAGCACTTCTTCTCATTTTTCTCCTCGTATTTTCTCCTCGTCGTCGTCGTCGTCGTCGTCGTCGTCGTCGTCGTCCTCCTCCTCCTCCTCCTCCTCCTCCTCCTCCTCCTCCTTATTGTCGTTGCCTTTGTCATAATAGTTGTAGCACTTCTCTTCCTTTTCAAACTCGTAGTTCTTTCTCCTCTATCTCTTTCTTTTCCTCCTCCTACTCCTCCTTTCCTCGTCCTCCTCCTCCTCTTGTTCCTCCTCCTTCCTTCCTCCACAGTCTCGTCTACTTTGCTTTAGTTTGTTAGGGATAAGAAATGTGTTGAAAGGAAATACATTTCAGACTTCTCTCTAATCGGTTGCGTTTCTCAGAGTCTTTTTCTACGCTAAGCTTGAATTCTTTTTTTTTTTAATATGCGAGTATAGATTTATACATGTACCAGTTCGTGAAGACCTTTCCTTTACAAATATACCTCACATTTACACACACA